CTATAGTCCACGAAAGCTTATGCTCTAATAAATTTGTTAGTCTCTAAGGTGCCACAAGTCCTCCTGTTCTTCTTTTTGCGGATACAGACTAACACGGCTGCTACTCTGAAACAGCTCAGCCTAAGTTATAGCCAAGACCTCTCTTGGCTTTATCAATGATGGCTCATGTCAAAGTAAAACACTTTGCTGCAGGGCAAACAAAACACATCCTGCAAAGGCCCATTGTATAATATACACCTTTCACAAAAACTGCCTGGCTGCATCAAATTGTTTGGGCCAGAGATGTGGCCATTTCCTTGGAGCAAAGATAAACTTACATAAAACTTTAGCAGTATGCAACATCCAACCCCCCAGGTGTTAGGGTGGATCCAATTCCTGTGCAAAAGTAACAAGCTGTAGTGCAGCAGCTGACAAATCTAGCACACCTCCCTCATCTAGGTGAGAGGGGAGGGGGGGTTAAGGCAGGGTGTATAGCCTTCTTTACAATTAAGGATTTTGCTGTGTTTGTCTGAGGCCTTTATAGTCACCCTCAGTTTATTCCCACACATCCAAAAATGACCTCCATTGATTTCTACTACTACACCTTGAAACCGCTGCCTTTGCCTAACCCAGGCCTTTAATTCACATACAGCTGGGGAGAGGGCTCCATGCAGCAGCACTCCGTCCGTGCCCCCCGGATTTCAGTAGGGCAGCTACAGCCCAGAAGGGGGTGGCCAAGCCGGAGGAGGAACAGGCCAAAGAGCAGGGCCGAGAGCCCTGGGGGTCAGGGGCAGGGAGGCCAGCACACACCTGGTGCGATGGCCTACCATGGGGGAGGGGAACACCAGCAGCGCCCCGGCCAGCGCCTCGCCGCCCAGCTGCCTGGCGGGGAGACCCGCCGCCAACGCCACGCGCCGCCCCCGGGCTACCGGCACCCCCGGCTGCTTGCCGGCCGCGGAGGAGGCCGGGCTGCCGCCTCGCGGCTCAACCCTCCGAGCCAGGCCCGGATGAGGGGGGAGGAGGCTGGGAGGCACCAGCGGGCGGCAGCCAGGTTAGCCGGGGACCGCGGCGCGAGCCCCCGCAGTCGGCGCTCACTCACCTCGGCCGGCCCTTTGCCGCTGGGAGGGCGGCGACGGGGCGTGTGGGTCGGTGAATGAATGGAGGCTGCAGCGCCCGGCTTCACCAGCAGCGTCCCGTGTCTCACCTTCTGCCTCCCTCACAGCCGCTGCCCGGCGCCTGAGCAGCTCATCCCTGCTGCCGCCCCCCCGCTCCGGCTCCGGCTCCCTCCCCTCTGACGCACTGGCTCTGCAACGCCTCGAGCATCGCCCACCCTCGGCTCCCCGGCGCGCGTGGTACCCAGTGCAGCCTCCTCCTCGCCGCCAGCAAAGGCGGGCGCAAAACAGCCAGACTTCGGGACTAAAGCAAGCCGCCTTCGCACACCAGCACCGGGCAAGGGGGCTGAGTCTCCCTTCTCTATCGAGCATGGGGCAGGGCTGCTGAACGACAATACTGGACTAACAGACTTGTCCGTGGGGGGGCTGCAATAATGCATGCAAATACTCCCTATTGAGTACACTCTCGCGGATGGTGTGCGATGCCCTTACTGTCAGCATGAGCGCCTGCGTTTCAGGGAAATAAAGAGCAACCACAGAGAAAAGCAGGACAAAGCTTATTGTCAGGGACAGCCCTGCATGCTTGATTCATGGTAAAAAACTAAACGGTTGTAGCATGGTGCAAGCCTTTGCATAGATATTGCAGAAGTACAGGATAAGACGCATTCTACATTGACATGGATGGAAGGTAAACATCTAATTGGGGCCATCCCTTAAAATAAGGGGCAGGTGGTCACCCCTCTTACTGCTGAATGCAGTAATGTTTTATGAAGATGTATATTATTACAACAGGAAGAGAAGAGCACATACACAATGGTATTTATCACTTTATAGCAGTTATATTTCCAAAGTGCTGTAACTCTACTGAAATCTATCAGATTACAAGAGGATTTCTGAGAGGAGTAATGGAAAATTCTCCTTTAAAAAATATAGAGATCGTCTTAAACAAGGAGCTACTTGTATTCAGGCTTTGACTAGACTGTGGCCTTTTGATCCTGCAAGTTTAGATTCAAATGGATAAAATCTTGAATCCATACAGAAAACCATTGGCTCTAATGGGGCTCCCTGTGGATTCCAAGATCCACCCACACAGCTCTGCTTGCAGGATCAGGACTTGATCTTTACTGTCTTTTATCTTTGTGTGTTGGTTGCTGATGTTTGTTACTCCTGCATTGCTGTTACATAGAGCTACAAAACGTTGGAAAAGATGCTGCTCTATATAATAATATAAGGTAAAACTGTGATATTAAGACATGTGGATTTACATCCACAAGAGAATTCAAAAGTTTCACATAAATGTTAACTCGACTACGTTGTACAGATGTGTGCATAATGATATGCATGCACAATATGCATATATTCAGCACAAAAACTATGTTAAAAGAACATTAATGTAACAAAGTCAAGCACTCAAAATGCCAGAATTAAGATTGCCTGTGCAACCTAAATTCAGTCCCCTTGTGTATATGCATTATATGATCTTTAATTACATGATCACATACTATTTTTTCCACAGGATCCCCATCTGATTTAGTGTGTGGGATCAACTTGCTCTGGTGATAAATCAGGTTTATGCAGTGAAGGTTTATGAGATCCCTCATTCATTTGTTGCACAAGTTGGAGGGTATGTCATGAATGAGGCAGGGACCTGCAAGAAGAGAAAATACAGTTTCATGGTGAATGGTGCCCTTGAGAACTGGATTCTATCCCTGACTCCAGCACAGAGAAGAGAGAAGGTGGGGGCTGGACTTGTCATTGGAGGAAATCAAGGGAAATTTGATAGCTGGGAGACAGACACAGGTATATCACTGGTACGGGGGAGGAAGGGGACAGGAAAAAATATTTGTAATATTAAATGGGGTTAAAATGCTTGAAAAGCCAAGTTCTGTATACAAGTTCTCACTGCCCTCCACTAAGAGGAACTTTTGAAAAATGCCTCACAGTAATGGGGAAAACTGCAGGTTGCATCTAGCCTAACACTTTTTGTCTGCAGACAATGAGTCAAAGATTCAGGGCTGGAATGGGGAAATTTACTGGTATAATTATACTGCTATAATTTATATCACCATATCTCCCTTCCTGGACACACACATTCTGGAGTCAGAATGCCTTTTTCCAGTTTAGTTTATACCACTTCTAAAGCAACATAAGAGTTTCCATACAGGGAGTTATACAGGTATAACTATACTGATATAATTATACTGGTAAATATTCCTGTGTAGATAATACCAAAGTTATAGGCCAATAGACTTTGATCAAGGGACACAGATTTGCAGACCATCTTCCTCTCCCACCCCTCTCTTTATACAAAGTTCAGATAGGATTAACCTCTCACAAGTCTAGGGGAAAAGTGCAGGAGAATCATTGTGCAAAAGTTAATGTGTATACAGGTGTTACCAAACAGAGAGGATTACCAATTTTCCAAATAAACACAGGGCCAATTTGAATATCAAATGCAATCAGTACAAGTACACACAAATAGAAACACAAAATTAACCATACAAATGCAGCCAAACACAAAAAAGCCATTTGCAGACGTATGTGATTTTTAGGGCTGTCGATTAATTGCAGTTAACTCACACGATTAACTCAAAAAACATTAATCGTGATTAAAAACATTAATCGTAATTAATCGCACTGTTAAACAATAGAATACCAATTCAAATGTATTACATATTTTGGATGTTTTTTTACATTTTCAAATATATTGCTTTCAATTACAACACAGAATACAAAGTATACAGTGCTCACTTTATTATTATTTTTATTACAAATATTTGCACTGTAAAAATAATAAAAGAAATAGTATTTTTCAGTTCACCTGATACAAGTGCAATCTGTAGTGCAATCTCTTTATAGTGAAAGCGCAACTTACCAATGTAGATTTTTTTTGTTACATAATTGCACTCAAAAACAAAACAATGCAAAACTTTAGAACCTACAAGTCCATTCAGTCCTACTGCTTGTTCAGGCAATCGCTAAGAGAAACAAGTTTGTTTACATTTATGGGAGATAATGCTGCCCACTTCTTATTTACAGTGTCACCTGAAAGTGAGAATAGACATTCGTATGACACTTTTGTAGCCAGCATTGCAAGGTATTTACATGCCAGATATGCTAAACATTCGTATGCCCCTTCATACCTTGGCCACCATTCCAGAGGACATGCTTACATGCTGATGACACTCATTACAAAAATAACGTGTTAATTAAACTTGTGACTGAACTCCTTGGGGGAGAATTGTAATTCCCTGCTCAGTGTTTTACCTGCATTCTGCCATATATTTCATGTAATAGCAATCTCAGATGATAACCCAGCACATTGTTCATTTTAAGAACACTTTCACTGCAGATTTCACAAAACGCAAAGAAGCACCAATATGAAATTTCTAAAGATAGCTACAGCACTAGACCCAAGATTTAAGAATCTGAAGTGACTTCCAAAATCTGAAAGAGATGAACCTGAACCACCAAAAAAGAAAATCAACCTTCTGCTGGTGGCATCTGACTCAGATGATGAAAATGAACATGCGTCAGTCTGCACTGCTTTGGATTGTTATCGAGAAAAACCCATCATCAGCATGTCCCCTGGAATGATGATTAAAGCATGAATGGACATATGAATCTTTAGCACTTCTGGCACATAAATATCTTGCAATGCCGGCTAAAATAGTACCACATGAACGCCTGTTCTGACTTTCAGGTGACATTGTAAACATGACAAGGGCAGCATTATCTTCTGCAAATGTAAACAAACTTGTTTGAGCAATTGGCTGAACAAGAAGTAAGTTTGAGTGGGTTTGTAGGCTCTAAAGTTTTATATTGTTTTATTTTTGATGCAGTTATTTTTTGTACATAATTCTAGATCTGTAAGTTCAACTTTCATGATAAAGAGATTGCACTGCAGTACTTGTATTAGGTGAATTGAAAAATACTATTTCTTTTGTTTTTTTACAGTGCAAATACTTGTAATCAAAAATAAATATAAAGTGAGCACTGTACACTTTGTATTCTGTTTTGTAATTGAAATCAATATATTTGAAAACGTGGAAAACATCCAAAAATATTTATGTAAATGTATTATTGTTTAACAGTGTGTTTAATTGCACAATTAATCACGATTGATTTTTTTTAATCATGCAATTAATCACAATTAATTTTTTTAATCGCTTGACAGCCCTAAAAAGAAAAGTTGGTCTTCAGTATGATCTTCCATCATATGTGAAATTACTGCGCCTATTCCACAGGGGAAAGAGGTATTGTAGTGTGTAAGGATCCTTTCAGATGCTGTAAACTTCTTGGCCTCGTCTAAGGAATTGGTGCAGTGTGCATTTCTGTCCACTGTTTAATAGTTTGTTTACAGGATGTAACAATTTCACTATGTTAGGCAAGAATCTGTAGTAAAAAATTATCAGCTTCAGAAAGGCATGTAATTGTGACACATTTTGAGGTTGAGGTGATTTAAGGATAGCTTCAACTTTGTCTTGTTATTTTGCAAATTATATTAATGGTATGGCCATAATTGAATCTTTGAAAAATTCACATTTTCCTTATTTGCTCTAAGACCGCAGTCAGACAGCCTCATCAGAGCTTCTAGAGGTTTATAAGGTGCTCGTCATCATTAGTTCTTGTGACCACTATATTGCCCAAGTAACAATGAGCACCAGAAATAATCTGTAATACCTGGTCTATGGCACACTGCCAAATAGGAATCCTGGTGCAGATAATGGAGTCAACTCTGAGACCCACCAATCAGTGGTCCTCAGAACTGTCCTATTGTTCTCACGGAACTGGTGCCCAAAAGGGACACCGTTAATTGTTGGAGGAAAGTTGACTTACGTATTGATAATTTCTTTCAATAAGCAATGAGGGTTCCACAACCTTTTTAGGACCAGGGGTAGGTACCAGCCAATCAATCAATCTAAAATGGTGACCAATTCCCTCTTCTCCTCACACCAACTTTAATTTTCACACTTGTCTAGACTTAAGAGCTTTGCCAATATAGCTATGTTGGCAAAACCCTCCTAGTGTACATGCAGTTATACCAACCAAACAGTGCTTTGGTAGTATAGCTTATGTTGGTTTGGTGAGCTCAATAAGCTATAACATCAGAAACATTTTTTGCTAGTAGAACTGTGTCCACACTGGGGCTTTTGGCAGCATAGGCATGTCATTAAAAAAAAAAATCACCCTCTAACCAGTATATCTAAGCCTGCAAAACTTTTTAAGCATAGACGTAACCCAAGAGACCTAAAACAGACCTTTCTAACGGAAGGAATTCTTCATCCAATGGCAACTGCACAAGCACTTCCTGTCCTTTTCACATTTAAGAGGATATGTATAAGGTTCTTTGGAGAGCATATTACTCAGGATTTGAAATAAGTGTGGAATCCAGTGTTCATATATTAAAAATCACATAATT